AATTGAATGCGGGTACATATCCAGAAGGACTCGCTACATACACATGAATTCAGATATATTGTATACGAGAGAAAAGGAGATAAAAGAGAGAGAGAGAGAGAGAGAATGAGGGAAAACTAAAAGCTCTCTAATATAACCTCGACATGCAACAGTGACCTTCAGGTATATTGAATACGAGAGAAAGAGAGGGAGGGGGAGATAGACAGACACACAAACAAGGAAAGAGAGTGAGAGAGAGAGAGAGGGAGTTCAGATATACTGAATAGAAAAGGAGAGAGAGGGGGGCGATAGGTAGATGGATAGACAGACAGACAGGCAGAGAAAGGGGGGGGGGGCAGAAGGATGGTGTGTGTGTGTGTGTGTGTGTGTGTGTGTGTGTGTGTGTGTGTGTGTGTGTGTGTGTGTGTGTGTGTGTGTGTGTGTGTGTGTGTGAGAGAGAGAGAGAGAAAGAGAGAAAGCGAGGGAGAGAGGGCTTACCGCAGGAAGAGAAAAGGAAAAGGGGATGGCAAAAGGAGAAGGAGAAAGAGACGGAAGGTGAGAGAGGGAGAAAGGGAGGGAGGGATAGAGAGAGAGAGAGAGAGAGAGAGAGAGAGAGAGAGAGAGAGAGAGAGAGAGAGAGAGAGAGAGAGAGAGAGAGAGAGACTGATGGATAAGCAGAGAGATAAATAAATAGATATGTTGTTGCCTGATTGATAGATACAGATGAATAAAAACATGCATATATACATACATGCATACATTCAAACGAACAAAATGGACAATGCACGCGACGCTATTTTCTAAATCTCATTTACTAAACAAACCACGAAAATTGATATATTTTTTAGTAAAGACAGACCCTAGATAAGGAGAGGAAAGTAGATCTCAATACACAAAACAATAAAATAAAGCGAGATAAAGAAGTACATGTTTTGTGTATATGTGTGAGCGAAGTACTCTAGACTAAATAATAATAATGTTAATGATAATAATAATAACAATAAAACAATAATAATAATAATAGTTATGATTAGTAGTAGTAGTAGTAGTAGTAGTAGCAGTAGTATCATCATTATTAGTATTATAATGATAATGATGACGATGATGATGATGATGATGAGGATGATGATGATGATGATAGGTATAACTATTATAATAATAATAATAATAATAATAACAATAATAATAAAAGTAACAAAAATCATAATAAAATGAAAATAAGAAAGCAAAGCAGAAGTCGACCTTGCAAGGTCAAGGGCTAATTTTTCTTGGCATAGGTCGCGTGTCCGTACGGGTCTCTCCACATCAACTTGTTGCCTTTCTCGCCGCATGCCGAGTGTGCGTGCGCCTGATTACGGCCCAGTCATGCAAGCCAAGTGGGAGGGTGAAACGTGATTCAGCAGGGTGTTAGGGGGTTTATTTTTTTTGTTTTGTTTTAGTTTTGTTTATTTGTTTGTTTGTTTGGATTTGTGTGTGGATGCTTGGCTGTGTTTGTTTGTTTGTTATGTGTGGTTATGTGTGTGTGTGTGTGTGTGTGTGTGTGTGTGTGTGTGTGTGTGTGTGTGTGTGTGTGTGTGTGTGTGTGTGTGTGTGTGTGTGTGTGTATGTGTGTATGTGTGTGTGTGTGTGTATAGATGCGCATATTTGTACATGTGTGTTCTATGGGTAAATTGCTATATGCGGTTTAAGTAGATACAGATTAATTTTAGATAAGCTGATAAAGCTATCTTATCAACTATCACCTTAGTCACCAAGTTCGCGCCTCTGATATTTGTGACTATAACGCAATTTGCGACTCTGTGCACATAGAAGATATACGTATGAGTGAAGATTATGTGTTTTCCTCCAAGTAAGCTAAAATATATCACTTACATGCTACAGCCTGCCTGGGTTTTATAAGCAAATCTAGATCATATTCTTATCTTACCAGATTTTAGTATATCTCCAGGAGGAAGATATATAATAAAATTGATATCATATACATACAGTATACTTATATACGTACGTCCATAGAAAATAACGCATGGATGAGAGAGAACAACTGGACAACGCAAGAAAATGTATCTGTATCAGAATACACGCGTCTGCAAGATTAAAATCATATATTTATCAGACGTGACCAGGAAATTCATTATCTGTCGCTCATTAATAACATAATTGCTGTCGCCGTGACCTTGGATAATTTTAAACTGCCGGATATGGTGTTCATAAGTTCCTCCATCGCATTGTATGTAACTTCCATTATATTCTTTTCTTCTTCCTCGTAGATCGCTTTCGCTCCCAGCTTCACGTTCAGTTTCATCTACGTGCAACATCAAGGCGCCGCAAGTGAGGGATTTGGCCCGATCTCCTTTGCTCTTGTTGCCGAAACTAAATCCTGTTTCACCACAATAAGCCAAGGACATGATAAGATAGACAACGCCTACACAACGTATCGATTATGTGTGTGCAATGCCGATTACGTCTCCTTAGTGCCTATTCTGTCTCTGCAACAGTCCTTCTCCAGTGCCTAAATAAGCAGGCAGGCTGGGACCGCGTTCGGTGGGAACCCTCTCAACTGCTCCAGCTGTTTCGTCCACTGAAGACAGATTTGCCACCAAAACTAGCTCATGTCTGATATAATTTTGTGTATGAACTTCCTGGCATATATATCCTTGATGAAGTTTAATTCGAAACGCGCCTAATGCATTTCTTGCTATGAGAAGTCATTCACTGTCAAACCTTTTTCTACATTTGCAACAATGAAATATGTGTGTGTGTGTGTGTGTGTGTGTGTGTGTGTGTGTGTGTGTGTGTGTGTGTGTGTGTGTGTGTGTGTGTGTGTGTGTGTGTGTGTGTGCGGATATGTGTACAAACGAATAAAGGAAACTTTATAAAAAAAAATTACTCCGCACAATAAAAACAAGAGAAAGATCACTTTTCTTAAAGAAAGGTATATGGAGAGCATAAAAGGAAAAGACGAAGCAAACAAAAGATCG